CTTCTGCATTTCACGACATAGCGCGACCGCTAGCCAATGTTTCCGGCGAGTATTTGTCCTCACGCTCGAACTGCTGCACCCCACTGGTCATGACATAACATAATTTCAACATAATTTCTTTATGTTGCAATAGGAATTTTCCATGTATTAAAATAAAGCTAAGATCGCCGCTCTATAGTAAAACGAACTTATTAGGTTTCTGCGTTGCTCTGTCAAACTTACCGTGGTGGATGCATTGATTTGCGCTTTCAGTGAGTATCCCAAACGGTATCGGAAAGCGCTACGATGTAATCACATATATCCTTACGCAAAATCTCTCAAGAGACACACATTAAATTGCACTGACTATTTGAGTTCACGTAACTCTGAGTTAGAGAGGAATATTTCACAAAGATCTTCTACATTAATTGGCTTATCGATTGATGATTGTCCACGCGGTCTATGACAACTAATAGCGTAAAACCTATCAAATGTTTACGAAAATTTCCTAAACATTTTGAGAGATACGTGTTCAACCACTTTTCTATATGCCTGTAGAAATTGTAAATGGAAACTTTGTCTATGGATTTGAAGTTTTGCGACGTTAATCTCAATGTCAGCAAGCCGCATACAAATGCTTAGTTTGAGAATCTACTCAGTAAAACCTATGATCTCATACCACCGCTTGACCAAGATTTTCAATGCTTCAAATCTATCATCACTGATTCTTGCAACCAATGCCTTACCAATTAACCAAAATTGCAAAGTCTTCTGACAAAACAGTATGAGAAAGGGCTTATACCATTGACACATAAGAAAGGTATACTATTAACATTTCTTGATAAGGAAGCAGGTGTTGTTATTATGAAGTGTAAAGATTACACCGATAAAAATGTCACATCTACTTTACGACAGCAGTAAATTCTTGAAACCGAACGAGAGAAACAAGACGGATTTCAAAAGAATGAAGAACAATCGTCTTATAGGTGAAAAACTTTACGGAAAGATTAGACCACTAAGATTACTAATACCAAGACTCTATGCTCTACCAAAGATATATAAAGTTGGCCTACGATTTCGCCCTATCTTGGATATATCCTTATCCTCTTACCATCCAATAGCTAGGTGGTTGACTGAATTCCTAGAACCTGTCAGGAGAAAACTCTCTGTTCATTCCCTTCGCGGCACCTGCTAATTTATCGAATGTTTACGGGAGACAAGTGCTTCTAATAAACATATGTTGTCTTTGGATGTAGAATCCCTATTTACGAACGTTTCACTGACGGAAACTATACGCTTTACATGCAAATATATTGAAGACAACAAGTTGAATACAAGGATACCAACTGCATATTTGAAAAAAGAACTACTTTTGAGATGTACATTGAATGTACAATTTACTTTCAATGAAACAATCTACAGACAGAAGGATGGTGTTGCAATGAGTTCTCACTTGGGTTCTCTCCTTGTAGACTGCTTTATGTCCACTCTAGAAAATGGTCAGTTGAAGTCAGTAATCCAAAGTTTTCAAATGTATATAAGATATGCAGATGACACCTTTATTATTTGTATTAGTGAATATAATTTGAATAATATATTAAATTCATTCAGTGGTGGCCATCCAGTGACAAAATTCACACTCGAAGTGGAGAGCGAGTCTAGTATTCATTTCCTCAATGTGAACTTATCAAGGCTGATCGATGGAACTCTGAAGAGATCGATTTATCGAAAGCTGTTATGGAATGCTGAAATGACAAATTTCTACAGCCGAGTACCCATTGGTTGAAAACGAATCCTGATTAGGTCGCTTGCCGCTCGTATTCGACGCATATGTTGTCCTGATACTGTGGAGGAAGAGTTAAATGCTTTGGGAAAAATCCCAACGGAAAATGGATTTCCACCACGTGTAATAGATAAGAATATACAGCCAAGTCCTATGAAATATGACTTATCACTCACAACCAAGAAAATACTTTACATGAGCATGGAATTCAAGGTTTAATTAGCTTTCGATATCATTGAAAGAAGGATTTCACCGTCTCTGAAAAGGATATTCACTCCTGCATCGTTGAGAATAGTGTTTTCACCATTTCTGTTCAGTAATCTGAAGGACCAACTCTGTGTGCGTTTATCAGTTCACTTGTTCGTGTGGAGCCAGGTTTATTGGTCGTTTGACTAGAGTTTTAATTGAAGGGGTGCAAGAACTTTCAAAAACAAACCGATCACATTCAAGATTACCAGGAGAGATGACTTATAAACTTGGGGAGAATTTGAAAAGCTCACTTCAAATTGAAGTATGCGCTAAAGATGTCTAGGAGGACAATGAAAGCCTTCCAAATAAATCATCCAGCTCAGAAAACACAACTACATCAAGATCACAATCCTGCATGGTTACGAAGAGGTGGAAGTGGAGTAATAAGAAGCAAGATCACTAAACATTTGGTTGATAATCATCACTCTATCTCTACAGCCTGCGCCTTTAAAGTCATCTACGTATCCGACTCGTGTGTATTTATGGAGTCAACTCTGGCTATTGATGTTAAAGTGTGGTAATCCCTAATCATATTTCCGCTCTACCTATTTTTTCTTTTTGTTTATTAAATTTGTATACTCTTCCTTTATTGCGTCAATTGTTACTATTAGTATACTCATTTTGAATTGTCCCCGGTATTATTTCACTTGTTCCACTTGTCATTCTAAATCGCTTCTGTTTTGCAAAGTCGAAATTTATGTTATCAAATGTCACACAATATTACGTAACGTTTTTATTTTTATTCTATTTGCCTACTGATCCTATAATTTCACATCACTTCCAAATTCTGTAAATTCTACGAATTGTTCTGAATAGGACACTAATTATTTTGCCGCTTCAAATTGAACTCTGATTATAATCACAAACATTTTAATTTTAATTGCGTTTCATACTCCGTATTAGTTTGTTCATTAGATATATCGCACAGTGAGTGAAACAGTATTATTCACTGGATAACACAGTTTTGAACACAATTCATTATTGCTGTTCATAATCGTTTCACCAATCATAATCACACAACTTCGAAAATTAAGATTTACAGTTTTCTTTCTTCTCTCCTATTTGTCGTCGTAGGGGTAGTAGAATTTTCCAGATGACCGGTTGAACAGGTGTTGAATCATTCCTAATACACGTGTTGGTTTGTAGTTGTGTCGATAAACAAAGCTTCTGTTATCAATCTCTCCCTCCTCCCTGTTTCATTACATTTTAAAACGATCATCTTATTTCATTCTATTGTATGGTTGTGTGTAATTGCATGTGGTGAGTGGTAAAGCTGAACTGTTTGCTAGATGTCCTATCTTATTCGGGTTAACTAATCTAGATTTTGCTACGTTTTAATGCTCCGCTAGTTTGACTTAATGACTGACCCTGTTCTACTACTTTGACCTATGTTTTTGACCTGACAATCATTCAAGCATGGAGTTAGATAAACTAAATTGTCTTTTTTAATTAGCTCCACAGTGTGCTTTAACCGACAAAGCTTGTTTGTAACTGAGTTTGTGCGGCGGCTTGAATGCCACTTCTATTCCCGCCTGTGTTGTCTAGAATTCTGCGTAAGGCTTCCAAGGTTCCTTCCTTGTATGGAATTACTGCTGATGATTTAGATTCCTAATTGTTGGTGTTGTCATTATCTTGCACCTGTTTGACATCCACGTCATCACTAATGTTATTATCATTATCATTACCATTAATATTATTATTATTATCACTAGCACTACTATTATTATTTTTTTTACACTTCCCTGCATACTTTCTGACTAATTTATCAGGGTAATTATTCAGTTCCAAGGCTTCTCTTATATGTATAACTTCCTATCTTAGATTTTCCTTGGTACTACTTAATTTTTGTGCTCTGTCATTTAAACATTTCACCAATCTTATTTCCACTGACATAGGATAGGATGATCGGAGAGCCAAATAACTGTTTGGATGTGTGGGTTTCCTGTAAGCACACTAGCGTGTTTAAATTCCTATCTTCTTTCCTTTATAAGCTACAATCTAACATTGAAAATTCCCCTTCCTGACTTTCCAATTGACAAGTGAACTGATGGATTGCCTTCCAAAAATCTATCTATATCTTGTGTTCTAAGTACAGTGAAAGTGTCATCTACATGCCTCCACCGTACTTTTGGGGTGGAGCTGAACGTTTGAATTGCCTAGTTTCTCCATCTGCCTATGAATACAGCTTCCACAACCGGGGATATTGGTGACCCCATGGCAACTCCCTCAGTTTGTTTCTATTTTCCCCCCTGGAATTTAAACATCATCCAGTAAATAATACTGTTTCAAGGTGTGATATATCTCATAAACAAACTAATATGGAATTACTTACTACCACAGTGCCCAAGTTTTTCATATATATGCATTTCATACTACTATTATTATTATTTTATGCATTCACAGTCGTGATTCAATTCCCTCACCGGATATAATTTCTTGATATAAAAACCATATATGTATATATACGATTGTACAGCTTGATTATAAATTCGTTATTGAAAAGGGTTTCTCGGCTGAATCACTGGTATTGATGTTCTAGAATTCCAAATAACGAACGAAAGGAACATGGATTTTACTTTTTGTCTCATACATGTTCTAAATCAAATTACGCTTTCGAAAAATGTCTATATATACATATATATATATCTCGACCGAAAGCTGCTGCCTTGACGTGGTGGTCGGGCTTGCATATCGCAATGACCCAACAAGTTCATCGATGGAGCGGCGGTAAAATCCTCACCAACCCCGCACGTGGTCAAGGCTCGATACATGGCTAAGGCGCTTCTATAAACCTCACTTACATCTTAGTAAGCCAGGTAAAGCGGGGAGTTTTGTTGGGAGGCTAGCACCCTTATGAAATCACTGTTCCTTTAATTTCAAAACTAGAGCTTGAAGCCTTTAGTTCCACTTGGAAGGGTAAAAGAATAAAATTAAAAAAAATATTGTTACAAATAATTTTTGTCATAAATTGTTTTTGCACATTTTTCAGAAACAGATACATTCATTCAAATCTGGACATTACTCAGGATATAGAAGTTATCTGAAACTGCTGATCACTCAAATTCTACCACCTGAAGTAGATAAGGTAAGCTGGAATACAGAGAATGTACACATTTCCGCTTTCATTTATGTTGTAAACGATTATACTAATATTCGTGAATATGGTTTTTTTAAGACATCGTGAAAAGCGGCGAGTTGGTTGTCCAAGGGTGACATGGAGGAGGTCATGTGAAGAGGAGATGAAAGCATGTGGGTAGACATGGAGCCAGGTGAAAACGTTGGCCGTGAACCGAGCGCAATGGAAACTTCCGGCTGAAGCCCTATTTTCCCCTAGGAACTAAAGGAAACAATGATAATAAGACATCGTGAAGAAATAACCCGAGTTAGACATCACTGAAAATCAGGGAGCATTGGACAGCTGTTCGTTCCTGTTTAGAACTCTATAGCAGTTCATACCCATGTTGGTTCATGGAGAAATCCTCACTGGAATTCATTCGGATTCCTCAAAAAGCCTACAGTATAAACGTCTGTCTACACTTCATGTATGTTTACTAGATGGGTATCCTGAAGATGTACTGAGGAGACGTTCCCATGCCAAGGTGAAGTCACTGCTCCTATGAAATCACTGGTTAAGTGTAATTATATATCATGAATTAACGGAGTTAGAATACACAGTCTTCTAAACACCTTGATCAGCAATCTACGAATGTTTGAAATGCAATTTCCTCCCATCAAATGTAAGATGATGCTACAGGACTGGACTTCATTGACTTATATCTCAACGATAGGGAGTGAAGTGGTAGAGCGTGTCGACTAATTCATCTATTTGAGAAGTTGCATCAGTCAGTGCCAACAGGTTGATCGCTGACGAAATCTCGTCACTCATACTGAAGGCTTATTTGGCATATGCCAACTTATTCCATCTCTGGCATAGACATGATATCCTGATGGCTGGCTATCGACCAAAGGGCGTGTGTACTGCTCAGCAGTTTGCTGCATCCTCCTTCAAGACTGTGAGACATGGCCATTGAAACTACAATGCACGAAAACACTAGCTGTCTTTGATTATACGTGTCTGCATACTATCTACCATGTTAAGTGGTATAATAGGTTGAGCAATATTGAGGTTAGGCGTCGAGTGAGAGCTGGTGAGGAGGTGATATCAGTCGACGACGTTGTCAAGTTACTTCGATTGAGAGAGATGGTTAGGACATGTGTTGCTCATGCAATCCTAGCCATCGATGGCCTTCCTCGACAATGGGCAATGTTGGCTGACTGACATAGGATGGATTAGGTTGGAAACGAGCCAGCTAGTGGTATTCAAACCAGTACATGGCTTCGTCAGTCAGTGAAACCCATAATAGTCAATTTACGTCAGCCAGTTAACCAGCCAATTATGGAAGCGTAGACTTCCTGACTGACTGGTTGGGGTCCCCAGGATGCTAAGAGCCAATGGTGGCTGGCGACAATTGGTGATATGACTGGTTCGAAATCCTCGTTGTCATTGGATGGCTTATATGCATTTGCCCTTTATGAGTCACAATACTCCATATAATTATATTGTTCTTCTATACCACTAGTCTTTTTGTCTCGTATTTTTGTGTATTACCCCTCTCTACTCCCTTCTCTTATTTTGTATGCTACATGGAAGGAGATTGTCAACAGGATTTGGTGCACATGTGTGAAAAGTTCTGCGTTGAAACAAGTCAGTCGATCAGTCAAATAGGATATCTCGGAAGTTTCAGTCTGGATTTGGGAAAGAATAAGTCAATGTTTAGTCTAAGAACAGCTAAGGATTAGGTTAACCTAACAAGGGCAGCATTAGGGTTGATTTCAGTTAAAACAGGATTAGTTTCGGGAGTATTTTCACTTTAGGGTTAGGTTGAGGAAAGATAGGAGTTATTGTTGAGGTTAGAAAACCTAAATATAATTACTTGAGTGGGACGTGGTTAGATCAAACTGTTGACACTCCCGTTCAAGGCCAAGAGTTATTTTTGTATGTGTGTTATGCGCGAAAATCGCCTTTATCATGTGTTTGGTGCATTCAGGGCCACTAATCCGTTGCTCCTCAAAGTTCAACTTTACCTATATTACGCATGCTGATTCGTTGTCTTTGTAGTCAAGTAGTTCTAGTTGACACAGCGCTGGATTGGAAAAGAGTTAGAAGTGATTAAATCAAAGCATGGCATCAATCGATTAAGTCACTGACAGTTGCTATGAGCTCTCCAGGTATGCAGGAGGAGACGGCCTAGTTGGAATCACTGAGATGCTAAGTTCCGATAGCTGAAGACTATTAGTTGTATGGCTCAAAATCGGTGTCACTAACACACTTGCGTCACTTCCTTTAATGTCTCCGAAATCCGTAAGACCTCCATCATGTTTGTTGAATCCCTTTTTTATGTCTGCTTTCATATAATTCTAAATGAAGTGTGAGAATTCGAACTTCAGGACTCTAGTACAAAGTCCCTTGTTGAAAGTTAAGTTCAGTTAATAGGCTGTTTTTTCTTATGAGATAGAGGATCTGTTCATTTTCAAAGTTTTCAACTTCACCTGATCGAATTGAACTGAGTAGGAGATGCAAACTGACAAGTCAATAAATACCACATTTATTCCGTTTTATATGCCTAGTATTGTGTACAGATTAATATAGAAAGATTCTACTTGAGGATTGGAACATTTGGTGCATACAAACTATATACTACTTGCCGACTGATATGAGTAGTGGTATGCAACTCACATCAAGCAGTAGATGTCGTTCGAACTCTAGACTAAATAAATCATATGAAATGAGAAAGAGACTGAATGACATTCAGTTGTTACAGAGTAATCAATAAAAATGATTCGTTTTGATGCAGTGAGTCTCTATACTATTTTATCAATCAATGTGACAGCTTTAGAAGCCGTTAAAACGGAACTAACTGCTGATCCCGAACTTAGTCACAGCTACCCATTGAGAAAATTATTTTAGGGATTCAATCATTCCTCACGTCCACTATCTTTAATTCTCAGTGTAAAATATGTAGACAAAGAGAAGGTGTGGGAATGGAGTGGATCACCAATATCCCCCATCGTAGCAGATATATTTATGGATATCTGGTAGGGAAAATGTAGCTCTTAATACATTTAATCCTACTGCAATGATTTGGTGGAGATATGTGGATGACACTTTCACAGTGTTAATAACAGAACACATATCGCAGTTTAGTTTCTTGATGTATATTAATTCACTGGTAGAGGGAATACAATTCTCATTTGAATCGGAAAATGAACAAGGAGAATTAGCTATGATGTCAGACTGTAAAATCAAAGGAATATAGGAAGAAGGTAAACTGCACACTAGCGTTTGTTAAAAGGTCAGTTCATTCTAATATTGGATGATTAGAGTTTAATTTACCTCTTCCTTCGTTATCTGTGAAGGCAGGCTTAGTAAAGTGTCTAACAAACCGAAGCAAAATAAAATTGACGGTGCGATTAATAATGATAACATAAATAAGAGAGAATATAAGGCATCTTCAGTGGTTTCACCATATAAGGAGAGGACATGTGAGACCTTACGTAGAATTCCTGACGAAGCAGGAATTAGGATGGTGTCATTTAAATCTACAAACTCAGTCAGGGAGGACAAGCTCTATTGGTTAAAGGATCATGCAGGTTCACCCAATTAAACAAAATAATATAATTTACAAGATGCGTTACAGTGACTGTCAGCTATATAAGTGGAACCAATAAATGCGGGGTAGGGTATAGTCAGATTTTCAGAACGTAAGGAATTAGCTAAAGCTAGAATGATCAAAGCAAGAATCGGAAAAGCAAGACAAGCTTTCACTACTCTCAAGTCTGTGTGGAGGTCAACAGCACTCAGCATCAAAAATAAGATCCGGATTTTCAACTCCAATGTGAAGTCAGTCAGTTCTACTATACGAATCAGAGACTTGGCGAGCGCGTCATAAAGAGCATCTCAAACAAACTACATACCTTCATTAACAGTTGTCTTCACTCAATACTCAAGATCAGATGGCCGGCCAGAAAAGATCAGCAACAGAGATCTCTGACAATGAGCAAACCAACAGAGCAGGAACCGATTGTGAAACAAACAGGCAGGAAGAAATGGAGATGGATTGGTCATACTCTGAGGAAACCATCAAGTGACATCACTAGACAAGCCATTGCTCGAGTGGAACCCGGCCGAAAGGGAAGCGGCGAGTTGGTCGTCAGTGCAAGGGTGACTTGGAGGAGGTCATGTGAAGAGGAGATGAAAACGTGTGGGCAGACTTGGAGCCAGGTGAAGACTGTAGCAGAGAACCGAACGCAATGGAGACTTGCGGCTGAAGCCCTATGTTCCTCTAGGAATTAAAGGAAACAATAATAATAGTGATTGACCTCCTGAAGACAGGTGAGCAATTTAGAAAAATCTCAGCAATTGCATTGCATGCATCAACACAACCACAGTAGATTGGCGAGAGTTTCAGTTCGAAAAGGGAATATATGTAGGTTGTTGGATAAACGTTGATTACTGAAATGTTGTTCACAGAATCTACACCCAACACATGCAATAGAAATGACTCATCACTCATACCGATAATACGGAGAATACTACTACAACCAATCAAAAATCAATACATGGAAATGACGGAATTATAAGAACAAATTTAGAAAGTTGTGTGAGTAACTTAATATAATTATCACCAGGGATAAATTGTGCTCGAAACGCGGTCATCAGTAAATATTACTGTATAACAGCGCTGTGAGATTTTATCAAAATAAATTTTCTCCATTATGGAATCTACTAGTTGTACTTGCTAGCTTGCCAGATTATCGAAATGATCTGAACACTGGAGGACCGTTTCACTAATCTCGGGTCTAGCAGACCCGAGGTGAACCACATTTGACTCACCTCAGAGAACTGAATTTGTTCAGACCACCAGGTCTCTTGTCAGCTGCTTGAGCAAACTAGTAACACGTTAAATCAAATTCGAAATTTGCAAATCAATGCTTTTGCACTTTACACAGTTAGAGGTGAGATCTCACCACAATGACTTTTCAAAACGGAAACTATTCACATCAGAATATGTGACCTGTTTGATT